TACTGATAGGTTAATGGAGTGGTTACATTTTTGATACCTCATTTTCCAGGGAGTATGTTTGCACCTCGGGGTGGTTGAATATCAAAATAGTTCTCACTTTAATGTCTCCATTGGAGGAGGATTTTTTAATTTTGGAGCATCAAAGTGGTAGTTTTTTAGTTTGATACCCCATTTAGTTCCTCCATTGGAGTTGCTCTAAGACATCTTGAAACCCTAACTCCTCCTACAAACCCTAGCCGCCAGACCCATAGACACCCATAGACATCCAAATCGATTTTTTTAAAATTTTTCCCACCAAACCCTAGATCCGCTCCTCCACCACCACCATCCACCACCACCCCCATCCACCACCACCACCATCATCGAGCGCCGCTATCACGCCATCATCCATGGCCAACATTGTCGTTGCGCCTTCCACCATAGATCTGACCTTACACCACCATAGCCGCCGTCTCCTTGCCTCTACAACCATCCGCTTATTGCCACCGTCTCCACCGCTACCCTCAATAGTGGATTGGAGTGGTGGAGAAAGAAAGAGACAGAGAGAGATAGCGATATCGAAAAATAAAGAGATAAAGATTGAAAGAGAGAGAGAAATAGACACCGAGAGACAGAGCGAGGCGAGATTGAGAGACAGAGAGAACGAGATTGAGAGAGAGAAGAAAAAAGAAAAATAAATTTGAGACAAACGTGACGTTAGAATTTATGGATTTAGGTTAAAGGTAAATTAGGGATAAAAGAAAAATTGAGGATGTGACTCATATTTTTTTTTTAAAAAAGAATTTAGTTCATAAAAAAATATTAAATTTGTATTCCACATTTAATTATGTTTCCAACTAGGGACCTCTAGCATATTACCCCAATTTTTTATGCATGAACAGAAGGATAAATGGAGGTATTCTATATCGATACAATCTTTCCTAAAACTACACAAATTTCATATTTTGAATTTTTAATGTTATTGTTCATACTTGTATTACATACTAATAATAAATAGATAAACAAAATTCACGAGTCAGCTTGTGAACTATTACAAAGTGAACACAATTTTTCCTCTTCCAATTGTTATATCTAACTATATTTTTTTTCAATTTGCAAATGCAATCTCTACTAGTACTATAAGTATTCAACTAACTCATGTAGTTGTAAAATCTAGTTTGAGTAGGAGATATTAAATTTTGAGAATCATATTTTTAATAGGGTTGTTTTGTTGATGACCAAATTAATAGAGGTAGAGGTTGAGATGCCCACGTCAAGATGACTTGATTCCACAAGGCCATATATACCAACTGTATTATGCTCAATTATCACTACTTAATTAGTATGAGATTAATTAATTACCAACCTAATGATCGCCAAAACAATTGTATGATTTCGTCATGTTCCATGATTAGCAGATTTTTATTCAGATTTATAGGGTTAGTGACAACGTAATCTGCGTATTGATTTCGTTGCTTTGTCCTTTGATTTGAACAAGAAGTCATTAGGAAATAAAATAATAATTAGGATTATTAGTTTTTTTTTTTTTTAAACTGTAGTATTATTAGTTTGAGTGTTGCACATTTTTTTTGACAATGGAATATTAGTGTTCTAAAAATCAGTCGAGGTGGCCAATTAATCGGTTTCCGAGGCGGAGTCGGTCCCAAACCTTTACGATTTTAGTGTAAAGATTTGAAAAATCGACTTTTTGCCTGTGAGGCGGGGCGAGGCGGTCAAACCTTTAAGACGGGTCAAACTCGGTGGCAAAAATCGGCAAAAAATTGGTCAAAAATCGGTTTTTATTTTTTATTTTTTTATTTTATTTTATTTTTTTATAATTCAAAATAAAAGTTGGGATTTCAATAAAAAAAAATATGAGTTTATGTTTTATTTTGTTTATGCTAACTATTATTGTTAAAAACTAATGATTTATGGCAGGAATGTTCAAGAATAAACGTAAATTCAAAAAAATTGCATTTTTATTTGTATTTTATAAGGATATTTATGTATTATGATCTTATTATTATTAAACTTTTATTATGTTATTAGGATATATACATGATGGAGATATAACTATGTTTAAATATCTTTTTATATATGTTTTGAGTATTTTATAAATAATATCTAGAAATATATTATATTAAATTTTAAAAAACGATTTATTTCCAGTTTATCATCGATTAACCACCGCCGCACCGGTTAATCGTGAGTCGGTGTCTGACCGCCTCCGACCTAATTACCGCTGTTTACAACCTTGTGGAATATACAATTATTTTAAATGAACTGGTAAACTACGTTCTTGTACAATAATTTGTAAATCAGATAAAATGTAATTTTTTTTTTTGAATCTGATAAAATGTAAATTAAACTAGACTAATTATATGTGAGACTGTACTGAAGTTAGAATCACACTTCAATTTGAGTTATTATTTGACTAATTCTAGAAGCATGACTTGGCACACTTGTTTGTCCTTTTATTTTCAAATAACTCATTTGATAATTGATACTTGATAAAGTGCTGATAATAATTTAGTTGATCTTTATATTCGTTCTCTTACACACACACACACACAGTTGGGTATGATTTTTTTTACGATAAAATTTACGAAAATTAAATCACCCGCGAAAATAACTTAAGTAGGGATGAGTTCGAGATGGGATTTCGGGAATTCAGGATATTCCGGATTTTGAAATTGAGGTAGAAGTTTTAAACCCCAATCCTGTCCAAACTATTAAATCCCGGTGTTATCAAGATTCTTTAAATATTTGGGAATTCGGGTTCAGGATCAAGAAATCGCAAATTTTGCCTACAAAATAGAACATTTTTTTTCATTCCCTAAAAATAGAAAATATTATCCCAAAAAATATATAATTACCAAGAACATAAAAAAGAACTCCTAAAAAGGTCATAACATTCATCGTAAATTAAAAAAGTCTCGATTAACAAACTCCAAGAAGTCGTAACAATCATCACAATTTTTGTTTAAACTATTTTTGAAAATCAGGATTAAATTAATCCGATCGAGATTTACTCTTGACGGGACGGGATCCTGAATCCCAATTCTAAATGCTCAAGCCTACATTTGATAACATAAAGAAACCTTAAACTATGAAACAATGTCTAGAGGAGGGGTGACATAAATCTAAATTATAAATAAATTTCAAAATAAAAGTATACAAGTATCAAATAACTTATTCACATATACATAAAATTAATTATATTAATGGAGATAATCATATATTTTATGACATGACAAAAAAATTAGAGAGAGATTTGTCAGAAGTGGGATCCTGTTAGATAAATGTGTTGTCTCAAAAGTGGAAAACAATGACAGATTACACAACTGGGGAGGATGTCTAAATTCATGAATCTGGACTGCGTTACAGATCATTATAAGGTTGTCTTCAAACATGAAATTAAGACAACTTCTATTAAGTTGTGATAAAATTATTTATTTCTAGGGGGTCCAATTTTCAAATTGGGCACCTGAACTATACAATAAAAGCCACATAATTAAATTATTAATTAAAAAAATAAATAAAATCATATGATCAATTATTTATTGGGCCACCTCGTGTCTGAAAGGGCTTTGAATATGATCACGAGGGTTGCTATTTTATTTATGTCATTTCAATTTGTTGACAACCTGTGCACTTTGATATATATATGCATCTAGGGACACATTAATGAAACTGAATTCAGATGTATGTGTGATACGATTCTGATAAGTTTCGTGATGAAGAATTGGAAGAATCGAAAGTGCATGATTATGGGTGTAAATGAGTCGAGCCGATTCTTGAACTCGATGAGCTGGCTTGAAAAAAACTCGAGCTTTTCGACGAGCTCAAGCTTGAGCTCATCTTTAGTTGTTCATGAGCTTGAGCTCATCTTTACAAATTTATGTTTTATTCTATAACTTTTTATTTTTCATGTAATAATTCTAATAACAAATAAAATAAAATAAATAAATAAATAAAAAAATAAAAAATAAAAAATATATATAAATGAGCTGACCTCGAGCTCGAGCTCGAGTTCTAGTTCGAACTCATCAAATGAAAGCTCGATGAGCTTGAACTCGAGCTCAAGCTCGAAAAATCTGGCGAGCTCGGCTCGAGCTTGACTCATTTGCACCCCAACGCATGATTTTGATGGAGTTGTTTGTGTTTGGAATGACAACAATTAGAGCAAGTAGGATGTTTGAAGAGCCCATGTTGTAGATTTAGAAGATTGGACTACTCGAATTTCATACATTTCAAAATTCCCGCATGTTTCTGCCAGATTTTCCATTCGAGTTATAACTCTCTCTCATCTGACGTCCAATTAAGGTGATTCAAATTGCTGAGATTCGAAGTGGAAGATTGTTGAATTCAAGCTTGAAGTTTTTCCCCGTGCACAATCAGATAAATGTCTACACGAGTTTAGAAGGGTGATTGAGAAGTCGACTTGAAGTATAAATATTTAATTTAGTTTTGAACGTTTTTAATTATGATTTATTATATTTTTATTATTTTAGAGTTCTTTTATAGTTAGAATTAGCTTAATTATAAGTTTTCTTATTATAATTTAGATGATCCGAGTCATTTTCCTTGCGCCTAAGGAGTCTTGTTAGGCTTTATATTGAGAGATTAATTATCATTTGTTGTACAACAAACTTCGCGATTTTACAACTGAGTGTGCAAGTGATATCAGCTAGTGAATTTGTAATCATATTCCAGGTACAAAATGTGAGATATTTAGCGTTGGAATTATGGATTAACCATGGTTAATTAAATTTTGGGTGTTGAGTTAGTGGTGAGATGGAATGAGGGTATCTGTGGAAAAATAAATTAGAATAATATTTTGATAAATAAAATAATGTTAGTTTGTATATTAGTAGAAAATTAATTTACACTAGTAGTCAAATTATATTAAACAATTTGGGACAATTAATTTCTTTTCATCTAATATTTTTTCAAGAATTATCTAAAAGCTTCCAGAAAATGAAACAATTTAATGTGATGACATTCATAAAATAACAACAATAAAAAAAAAATATTCCATCCAATTGCACAAAATCCTACAATAAAACCACCACCAACAAGCCTATACACAAATGTATAAATCATAGTATTCCAACAAACTATTCTAACTTTAACCAACTAATCAGCCAAACATTATGTTAACATAAAATAATATTCATAGAATTACATTTACATACGACGCTGTAGTGACTTCGATGAAATAAAAAAACTTGCGAAATCACCACCTAATCGATGCTTAAAACTGTAGTATAATATATAATAATATACAAGTCGAGCTATACATCATCATGTACCACTATACGCTCTTCAACATGTACACGGCATATCGGACATCTCTTGCACTTTACGCAGCATGTACTGTGCACATACATACATACATATATACGTATCAACAAATTACTCCAAACATATTTATATATACATGTGAGTGTGTGTGTGTGTGTGCAAATACCTGCAAAGGACGTAGTGTCTGCAAGGGAGTAGGACTACGTTTATATGTTCATCAAAGCAAACTCGACACAAGATTTTTTCCTGAAAAAGAATGCAAGTATAGAAGCATGTCAAAAATTTAATTACTAACTAGACCAGCAAACAAGCTGATAAATTAAAAACAAGAGCAAATTACGGCCAACCCCCTGAGGTAAGGTCAAATTACGAGAAACCCCTTCCTGTTTGGGTAATTACAACTACCCCTTCAACTATGATTTTTCTTACAAAAAAACCCTTCTTTAATTGGTAAATTTTACACTATAAGGGTGGACGTGTAAGATAATACATAGTTGAGGGGATGATTGTAAATACCCAAACAATAAGGGTTTTTTCGTAATTTGACCTTACCTTAAGGGGTGGCCGTAATTTGCCCTAAAAACAAAGTGATTTTTTTGTAAATGTACAAAATTCAAGAATATTATTTCACCTGTATCATAGCTAGTGCTTTCTTAATTGATAATTTTTTTTTTAATGTTTTCGACAACTTTATTGATAGAAATAAACTTGATATTCTTTTTCTTCCTTTAACTTTAACTTGTTAATTCAAAAACTCGATATTCATTTCGATTATCCAATAGAAATAGATAAAATAGAAGTTAGAATAATTTACATTTTGAAGTCTTTCAAACTCCTCCTGGCTAATATTTGTGATCTCGGTTTGTGCAGCGAGTGCCGATTGAAGCTTCCATATCTGAGAAATACACAAATATCATTGCAACTTCAATATTACGAGAATTTGTACGTACAACAAATGCAAATATATACACATTCAAAAAAATATATAACTAAAATGATGATCACCTCCTTAGCGAGCTCAGCCTTCGGCATTTTCTTTACTGTATCAGGTGAAAATGTATTGTACCTGTTACGAATAAAGAATATTCACGAGCCATCTTTCTATTTCATAACCGAGGAAGCTTAAAAAGAAAACAATTAATGCGAAATAATGCTTAGAAAGAAAAAAAATATATAATTCACCCAGAATCCAATGCACAATATAGACGAGCTTGCTCCTCTCGACTTCCTTCATCAATTGACCACCAACCTAGTAACCTGATATTTAAAAAAAAAAAAAAAAAAAATCCTCAAACACTAGAAAATAGATATAGACAAAAGAAAAAAAGATTTCGGACAAATTTTAAGGTTTTTTTACTTTAAAAACATTCATTACCTCGATCCACGACGCAGAAATCCCATATAGTCGTAAGCAGTTGCAGGTAGTCTAAAACTACTTCCTGTATCAACTCCATCGTGTAATACCAACATGACTTTCTCAAAAAATCGATACATGGCAAACAAAAATCCAGCTCCTTGCAAAAGAAGAAGAGGAGAAAACAAAAGCGGGATCGGAATATACTTAGCACCGGGCGGAGTTCCCTGGAATTTATCGAAAAATTGTAAAGATGAGTTATACATACATACATATATATATATATATATATATATACTCGCAACAAACACGAGTAATTTTCAGACAAGAAATTTTCTTGCACACATACCTCCAAGTACATGAAGAGCATGATCTGAAAACCGACAAAGGGAATTTTCATCACGTGGCCACCGATATCTTGCAAACTGCACAATCGGCTATCTTGGGAATCTTCCACAGAAGATTCCAAGATGTTGTTACTACTCCAGTTTAAATATCGAATACTCGTGGAAGATGAAGATGCTCGTGCGAGATGGGAGCGTCTGTGAATTGCGGGATTGTACCACTTTGTGCATATAAGAAACGCGAAGCACTCTGCAACACTGAAAGAAAAAAAAAATGGGGCTATATTATACTATTATTAATAATATGGAGTAGTAATTAAATTTTATGGGGAGAAGTGAATATATGTTACGTACCCGTAATTAATGAAGAGGTCCCACCATCCAAGAGCCTCCACATCACCTGCGTTTAGTCGAATAAGATAAATACGTATAGAGCTAACAAAACGGAAGTAACATAGCTTGAGAAATGTAAATATTTTAATACAAAGAATTCAATAAATATTCAATGCGAAGCTGAATTTACCGCATAGCTTGAGAAGCGTGAACGCTGTAGCAGCTATGAAGAAAACCATCGAAATCGAAACCCAGAAGTGCTTGAAGAGAAAAAAAAAAAAAAAAAGATTCAATTTTTAATTAGTCCGGAGTAAGATTAGTACATAAGAGACGGTTTACTTAGAAAACGTACAGGAAGTGTTTCCCATATTGCCTCGTCGCTGATGTTTTCTTCGTCTCCAGGCATAAGTGTCCTACACATCCTACACAGAATAACAACATATCGAGACGATTAATTTTAATCACAAAATCGTTTCGAAGATCGACAAGAAACGGGAATTTATTTACCTTATATTGTCGACCAAAATTGCGATTTCTAGTGCTAGCAAAGGCATGAATACAATCTTCAAATTTACAGCTGTCGTCCACCGCATAATCGGGAAAAGAAGGTGAGTTTTGAAATCTTTTTTAAGTCGGGACGAACAATGTAACGAAAGGGATAAGGATTTTTACCGTATCTTCTCTCAAGATGTACACAAAGGAGAAGTTCAAAAGCAACAAGCAATGGAGCAGCCACAATCGCATGAAATGGTGCCCACTGTTCAAGAAAATGCAACCGATAATTAAATAGAGGCATGAATTAAGTAAAAATATATACATATTCGAAAAAAGAAACAAATTGAAAGATAAATTAAAATCAGTCGAGTAAATTTTCGTCATACATAGCGACCATGAGGCATCGACGGGGCAGGTAAGGAGAATCTGCCTCTAGCCACAACAGCATGAAATAACCAGAGTGGCGAAAATATCAACCTACAAAGTCGTGCAGAAACATAACAACGTATTAAACAAATCGGAATTCCCGAACTGTAATTCTTTCCCTTTCACCGAAAAAAAAAATTCCATCTTTCTCCCAATTCGGAACAGAGAAAACACATTGCTACAGCAAGAGACTTATATGCGATTTGCACTATATCACCATCTATTATCTATAAAGATACAATCTTTTTACTTAAATCATCAAACATGGTGAAAATTGGGATTTGCACTATATCACATCTGTTATATATAAAGATACAATCTTTTTTACAAGGGCAATTCTCTTTTATTTATTTATTTATTTATTTATTTATTTATATATCTTATCTTGCAGCAATCCTCTAATAATGGACAGCCAAATATTGTCTTAGTGATGGTTTTTGTAAGATGATAGTAAAAAAAAAAAAAAAGACAAACCAAGGAATTACTACATTCTAATCATGTACAATGTAAATTGTTTCAAAAAGAAAAAAATAAACAAAAATCAAGAACACTAAAATTAACAAAATTGAAATATGATCAAACCAGAATAAAAAAAACAGATAAATTCGAAAAATTAAGTCACGTATCTTCTACTGCATAAATCTTCATTTCTTGACAAGCAATTGCAAAAAAATAATTAACAAAAAAACCCAATCAAAAAATTAGGGGAAACACACACACACACACAAACAGAGAGAGAGAGAGAGAGAGAGAGAGAGAGAGAGAGAATACGAACCACCAAGAGTAATTAAGAGAGTGATGAAGCTTGAGAGAGAGAATAAGAGTGAAAGAGAAAAGCAATCCATGAGCCAACAGCACTTGGAGGGACTTGAATACTCTCCTCCAATTCATCATCTCCAACACAATTACACACAATTACACACAGTACCTGCGTGTATCTATCTATCTATCTCTGTGTAATCAGTAATTGATTCGGGAGAAAATTAAAAAGAAAAGTTAAAAATGAAACGGCAGAGACATTGGGGAAGATGGGTGAAGTTCAACGGAGGTTTAAAGGAGGAATAAAAAAATATTCGGACAACGTTAATTGCTGCTGGGGTCAATTGATTCGCATGGTGGATTGTCACTATTGGTTTTTGTTTTTAGTAAATGTCGAATTTACCCACTACTTTCTGTGAGAAAGGTGAGTTTGTTGGGGGTATTTATGTCATTTTCATGTATCGAGGGGGACTTGGTATTTGCCTCTGTTATTACTTTTACCAATTAATTACAAGATATTTGTTTATGTAATCCGGGAATTATTTATTTTTAATTTTTTTATAAATTGATACGATTTGTACGATTAAAATTTTATCAATTTGGCGAAATAATAACTTATTATCAGTAAATTAATAATTACTAATTTATATATTATTTAACAACTTATTCATTTATTAAATTATTTATATTATTATTTTCAATAAATGATTTTTATTTTTATTTTTCTTACCCATATATATATATTATTCAATGTCCTATAAAGCTCGTTTCTCGAACGGAATCTCTTAAGGCTACAAGGATATTAAACATTTTCTGTTGAGTTACGAGAAAACTATGCAAAAAGTTCTAATCATGTTAAGAAAAGTGATGAACGAGATTGATGGTGATATGAATTTCGACAAGAAACAAGCGACAATTAAGTCATATTTTATTAAGGCTTCATAGATCTATAAAATATGTGTTGTACTATGTAATTTAAGAACTATTTTTATGGTTATTAATATGGGGCTTCTTCAAAATTTTCAATGTGTACTATCTTATAAATTTAGCGAATTATTAATTTATCACATTGTCTCCGAGTCGGGACCGGAAAAAAAATATTTATGCGAGGTTACTAATTTATCGAGGTTCTACTATATATCAATCAAGTCATGTTTGTACATGAAGTCTAAGAATTTCATATATTTCGAGCAATAGTTTAGATATTTTTTTTAAAATAGAATTATAATTCTTTTTAATTATAAGTTATAACAATTAAATCATGAATGAATATGATGTATTTTTAGAATTTGTTTCCGAAAATGAATCTACGTTTATAAAGATATTTTTTTAATCAAACGTTTGTTAACAATTTCGAAAATAAATTCCCCAAAGCAATTTTAGTATTCTCAGTTCTCACTCATTCAAACCCGGTTTGATCACTACAATCAAAAAAAAAAAAGCGGCGGATATATATATGCAAGACCATTTTTTTATTAGTTCAAATCCATATAAAGGGGTTTATTAGCTCAAGCCCGTATATTAATTTAATTTTATTACATCAACACCAAAGATGACGAATATATCCTCATCCACAAATTATACCAAAATACAAACAAACCTTGTTTTTAATTTGTTCAAGACCAAAAATTCAAAAAAAAAAAAAAACAAAAACAAAAAAAAAAGGGAAAAAAAAACTCACGACTGTCGCCGCCAGACCGTCGCGACGCCGACCAGCGAGACTTCCACCGCGTTGTCGACGACCAGTGGCCCACCCACCGCACCATCACCACCACCGCACCACCACCAACAAGCAAGTCCTTTTTACTAAACTTTTGTTTGTAAATTCGAAAACATTAATCGAGCATTGATTCTTGATAAATATGCGTGGGTGAACATTAAAATATGCTTATTTCTTGTTGGGTTGCAATGCTTTAGCCGATTTTGGAAAAAAAATTGAGATTGAAATTGGTTTTTTTGTGTGTTTTCATTGGTTTCTCAAATCGGTTTATCCAGACCGATTTTGTACACGAAAATCGGCGTCATAATGCCGATTTTTGTTAACCAAAACCGGCGCTGTAATGTCGATTATTGAGTACAAAATCGGTTTTCGGATACCGATTTTTGCTTTTGAATTTCATTAAGGATAAATTAGTATTTTTATGTTAGAGGTCTTGAACTAATAAAAAAATTGGCTTGCATATATCCGCCGCCTTAAAAAAATCGTCTTCACTAAATAAAATAAATATGTATTTCTTTTTCAAATAATTCTTTTAAGATATATACATTTTTATTCAACACCTTTATGTATGATTGAACTTACAGTATACATCATTTATCTATACATCCTCCCAAAATACAAATATACATTACATTCATTCTGCCAAAATAAAATATAACTAATCTGACCAAAAAAATATTTATTAAATAAAGTAACAAATAATAGAGGCGCCCATCCTACAAATACAACCAATTCTAGTACATAATTATTCAATAACCTACTAATTACCATACAT